CCCCCCTGTTTCCCTCAAAAGAAAATAATAAGAAACAAAAGAAACAAACACAAATAAATCTAAGCACAACAAAGAAATTAAACAGAATGAATAACAGTACAAAAACACTAAATAAGATTCCACTTCTATTGATCCAGTGAGAAGATTTGGTTTACAAAAGCTCTCATTCAGCATAGCCAAATGCGGGCAATAAAAACATCAATGTCTGTATATTCACACTATCGCACAAACACACACAGTAAGCGTGCTATTGCTGGTTGCCACTGTGGAGTGCTCTGTCTTTGAGCTTTGGTTATCACTTTTCTTGAATTAATTACTTCCTAGACTGGGCACTGTCGTGACCACCACTCTTTGCTCTCTATAAAAACTCTCACTGAGCAGGTTTGCACCATGATGAAAAATATCTGTCCGTCCTTTAAACATGTTATGATGATATGACCGTATGCAGTTGCGAGCCCCGTAAAACTCTTACTAAAACATAACATGATGATAGATTTGTTGCAGTAAAACCTGTTGGCTCTTACATGATCAAAATTGAGTCGATAGTGCCGTAACACACTTAATCAATCAATCAATCAAAAGCACCACGATGGACGCTCAAATGAAGCAGAAAACACAAATCTCGCTATAGATCTAGATCTAGTAGAGTTCCCTCGCGTGCAACGTTTCACTTCTTGCTCTTTATTTCGATACCTTAAAATTACAAAGTTCTATCTGAAATTTTTGGCCGTTGTGAGTTACTAAGACCATGACGCCAGAAACCAATAAATGTTCTATCTGTTTCTATAAAAATCGTTGGATTATTTTGAGTTGTTATCAACATATTCAAAGAAAATGCGTCACCTTGTTGTAAAACTCAACAAAATTTTTTATTGTTAATTTTTCCAAACTAGGTGTTGAGCAGATAGAACTTTATATGTAATTTTAGAGTAGCGATTTGTTTCCACGTAGAGTCAAACGGTGCACTTCATAATGAACCGGGATTACGTCAGGAGAGCCCGATCTTGGATATTATAGTGCAATTCTTTGGGTTATTGTGTCTCGCTCAAGGACACAGCCCAGTGACCACCCGCCGAGACACCGTGTCAACGACAGACGTCCGCTGACTTTGTGAGTCTGAACTCATGACTCCCTCGGTCTCCAGTGGCGACAACTCTCGTTCCGAGTCCCGGGCAGTGGCGATAACTGAGTTAAAATGGTTGCTTTTTAAGCACAAGGGGGCTACCCCGAAAATTGCTGTTTTGAGAAAGTCAAAGGAAAAGTTTTGTCCCTTACTCAGTTTCTTTAAAAGACAAGGAGAGTTTTCTCTATAATCAAACAAATATACACAACTTTCCTCCTTTTGGTAGGGCAATGCCCACTTTTGGTGTAGGTCAAGATTTCTGGAAACCCCCGAAATCTGGGTTAGCCCGCTCCGCTTGTCCTTAAAAGTGACCATGTGTGGGTGGGGCTCAGAAATGAGGGTAGAGATTGAGTTCAAAGGTAAGATTCTCTGGGTTTGAAGGAAAACCTGGATATGACGTGTGAGCGTGTTTGTTCAATGCCCGTGTAGTTACAAAAAGCAAGACATTCCTAACAGGGTTTTTTTG